CACCGGAAGAAGAGCCAGTTGCGGGGCCGCCACTCGACTCAGAGGCTGATCCGCCGACACACCCACCACCACAGACCCCTGCGGACGGCTTTCGTGAGGAGCGACGCGTGACACGCTCTCGGTCCTCCTCTCTGTGCTGCCCGGAAGTGTCCTGAAAAATTGGTGACGGTATCTGACAAAACTGGTGTCTGGGCTGTATCAACTGGCGTCCGCGCTGTCTGCACTGCGGCCAGTGGCAGCCCCGCCCTACTGTGGTCACGTGATGTTGTGACCGCCGACCGGGTCAGTTCCCAGGCCGGACGGGTCAGTTGGTGCTTGGCAGGCAGCTAACACAGGTCTCTGGTGGGCACGGACTCTACACCCACAATGGCCTCACTGAAGGCCTATGCTGACCTCACAAAGCCCACGATGGCTCATTAGAGCCCTTGAGTAAGCCTCTAAAGGCCCCCTCCGCTCTCAAGGAGCCCATGCCGGTTTTAGTAAGCCTGTACCGGCCTCTGAGAGGTCATGCCGGCATCTAGGGGTCCGTCTCGACCTCAGAGGGCTTAACCCTCGCCGGCCAAGGGGGGGTGCCGCCCCCCGTAAGGTTTTTTCGCGATAGCTCCGAACACGCTGGCGATAGAGAGCTGAAACTTGGCATACCTGACCTTTGATCCAAGCCGCATCTTTTGACACCAACTGCATTTTTGGGTCAGGTCAGGTCACTGACCTATGACGTCATAAGTGAACCTCTGCACGGTCTTCAGATGTCGCAACTTCGCAACGCCCTCACTGCCAGAGGAGATGTCACAGGGAAATGAAACTTGCAGGATCTAGTATCCATTATGTGTCTCACAACTTGTATATCTCGGATTTTTCCTAAAGGTCATATGAGGTCAGGTCATTTTCGTGACCTCACCATTATAAGTCAATGGGGAAAAATGAAAACTGCTATTCTGGCGCCGGGAACGATCTCCAACTATCTCAAGCACACAGAATCGTGATTTGATGCATTATTTGCAAGGTCAGATGCGTCACTTTTGCAATGTTGATCTTCCGTGACGTCATTTATGACGTCATCAAGGTCATATTAGTTTTTCGTCAATAACTCCCGATCAAATTGAGCTAGCGAGTCGAGAAAGCCACCAATGGATTCAGGAAGACCTGCCGAATCGAATGATATGCGACATGACCTCTTTCGACCAACTTCGTGACCTGGGGGTGCTGACCTGACCTTGACCTGAGGTCAACACCCTAAGTTGACCTGACCCGAACAAAAAGTATACCATTCGACGCGCCTGAGCGAGGCGAACACGATGCTGCCAAAATCGCGGCTCTGCGGCCGTTTTTTGCGAAGTTATTCACCAAAAACCGAACCGTACCCTGGGGCACTTGACCTGACCTCAGAGGTCACCGGTTGACCTAGGACCTTAAAATTGAGTACCAATCTCTGCGTCTTGTAACGGCGCACACGCTCGTTTTTTCCGCGACGCGCTAGCTCCACCAGGGGCGAAACGGCGAGGGGGGTCGTACCCCCCCCCCCTCGGCCGGCGCGTATGTAGAAAACCAATAGGTCCGGCGAGGGTTAAACATGCATAAGGGCTACAGTCTGACCATCGAGGCCATCGAGATGGCCTCTGATGTCCCAGCGCCAGCCTTAGAATTCAGAAGACAGAGGGCTCCACGTTGCCTAAGAAGGCCCGCATTGTCCTCAGATAGCCCCAAGCTGTTCTCAGAGGGCCCCAATTTGACCTCAGAAGACCCCACGCCGCTGGTCTTAGAGGACCCCACAGGGACCACACTGTCCTTATATTGCCCCACGCTGGTCTAAAAGAGCTACGCACTGGCTTCTTTGGGCCCCACGTCCACATTTGGCCATTTAGGGTCCCAAAGCGGACTCCAAAGGGCCATATTGCTAGCCTCCGGGGGCTCGACTTCGTCTTATAAGCGCCCTACGCTGGCCTCGAAACCTTTGGTAGAAGTTTGTGTAGACATGTTTACGGATGCCTTAACCCTCGCCCTGGCAGGGCATTTTTCATAACACGGCCTGGCAGGGGGGGGGGGGGTCGATGCGAACCCCCCTCGCGATTGGCTCCTATGGCACCTAGAAACACCAAATTCGGTAGGTAGGTGGGCCCCCTGGGGTTCTCGCCCCTGTGCAAATTTGGTTGCTCTAGGTCAATATTTAGGGGGGTTTTGGGGGTATAAATGTAAAAATTTCGCTAAAAACAGGTCAAAAGTTTTTCGCTTATAACTTTTGATCTAATTAAGATAAAGCAAAAAGAAAAGCACCAGTGAACTCAGCACGTCAAGGCGCGTCGAATGATATACTTTTTATCTTGCTTAAGTGTACATAAAGTTTTTCTTAAATTTTAAGTAAACTTAAATTAATAAATTAAGTTAAAGTTAACCAAATTGCATCATATCGCATATCATTCGATTCGGCTGATCACCAGGAACACAATGGTACCATTTTTTAAGCTCTAGCGTCATTAACCCGCGCCCCGCTGGGCTATTCAGCCATACGCGCCCTGCTGGGGGGGGGCAGATTCTGCCCCCCCTGTCTAACTTCCGAACCGATGGTCGTAGAAAGACGGGGAAAACGGCAATCGGAAGCTCTCAACAAGGCGGATCTTAAGAGCCCAAATTTTTTTGCTTAAGTAGGTCAGAGGTCAGGTCAAGGTCAGGTCAAGGGTACAAGATGCAAGTTTCTACAGTATCGGCCTTGCACCGTAGTTGCCGAAGAATGGACTGAGACTGATTGCCCAAAACGTGTTCTTAGACTACCAAGACAATATTCGTTGCATACAATGTCATTCAAAGGTCAAGGTCAAGGTCAGGTCAGGTCATGTCAGGTCACCAAAAACAAAATATAGAAAAGGGCATGTGCGACACATGTTTTATGGGTCATTTTACTCATAGAATTCAATAGGCACACTCAATAAGTGATATGGACCACCTTTGGATGAATGTCAGGTCGAGGTCAGGTCAAGGTCAGGTCAACTGAGGTCAAATTTTGAAGTTGGTTGTTAAGGCCTAAAAAGGTGTCTATCTGATGCAGTTTTTGACGGCGAATCGAATGGTGCTATTTTTGTTTCCGTACGAGGTCTAGAACTTCCAAAAAAAATCATTTTTCAAAATTTTTGTGTGTCGTGACGTCAGAAAATTTTGAATAACTTCCGCATTTTTGAACCGATTCTTCTAAAAATTGGTATGTAGGTGCACATAGACCACCTCTTTGACATATATTCCGGTTTTTTCGATACACTCAAAATTTTGGATTTTATAAATATTTTCCCAAAAAAGTCAGTTTTTTGAAAAAATTTGGGCCAAAATCCAAAATTTTCAAAAAACCGAGATAGCCATTTGATAGACAAAGTAGAATCACGTATAACCTTTTTTGTTGTGTCTTGATTCCTTTAAAAATGACGATGTTAGTGGCGTTTGAAATTTTGCCATTTTTGAGGCGAAAATGGCGAACATGACGTCACTAAAACGTCATTTTCTCAAAAATTTTCCGACGGATTTCGCTAAAATTTTCAGGGAACGTGTCAAATTGATGTATGATAAGGTACTGAAAGTTTGACGTCGCTGGCGTAACGCGTTTAGAAGTTATTGGCGAAAAACGGGAGGGGGGGCAGAATCTGCCCCCCCCCCCCCAGCGGGGCGCGGGTTATGTGCCAAGTTATTGGCAAAAACGTCATTTGACCTCAGTTGACCTCATTTGACCTGACCCATGGATAAGTACACCAAACAAAGAAGCACCAAGTGACCTGCTGTTGAGTACTGTGGTTTCAAAGCACAAAAGTGATAGAACGAAGCGGATATCTCCAGTATTTTCCGAATTTAGTATTTTCCCATAGGCTTAACATTACGACGTAATGACCTCTAACTGACCTCAGGTCAGTGACCTCAAAAACCCGAACTATATGTTATACAACTCGGTGAACTTAGCACATCCTGAAAGTTTGAAGGAAATCAGTGCAAAACTGTGAGTTGGACAGGTGCAAAAAGAAATTTGAAATTTGACCATGACCTTGTACCGGTTTTTCTGACCTGGTGACCTGACCTAAGGTCACCCGGACCTGAAATTTTCAGGTCATATGTAAAAAGGTTGCCCCATAGGCTGTGCCAAATTTGGCGGCGCTGCGCGCCGCCGTCTTTACGCTATCTTCGAAAAACCTTAGGGGGGGGTCGCATCGACCCCCCCCCCTGCCAGGGCGAGGGTTAACTGATTAGGCAGGATTTTGGTATACCTTTTCCTACAGTATATATAATATGTATGTTACGCGTGGTGTAAAGGTCCGCTTATACGGTGTATATTAGGTGGTAGGTATCTGAAATTCTGGAGTCTGGTTTGTCCCCATCTGCCCAGTCGAAATTCCTTAGCCGAGGTCCTGCTGTGTGACTGTATGTGTGACTGTCTGTGTGACTGTCTGTGTTACTGTCTGTGTGACTGTCTGTGTGACTATCTGTGTGACTGTCTGTGTGACTGTGTGACTGTCTGTGTGACTGTCTGTGTGACTGTCTGTGTGACTGTCTGTGTAACTGTCTGTGTGACTGTGTCAGTCACTAGATTTGAACAGGGGCGAGATGTATGAGTTCACTTACCCTATACATCTGGTGTTTCTAAGTGCATTAGGTCAGGAGCTAATCGCCAAAGGTCGAACCGGCCCCTCACCGTCCGCGTTATGAAAACGGCCTGGCCAGGGGTAGACTTTCGAAGTGATAACGTTTTTTTTATTATCTCTTTTTTTGCGAAAAACTAGTAACGATAGTCAATTTCTATATTGGTTACCTACATAAGACCTGTCTGCCTGACTGCCAAGCTTGCCTGCCTTATATGCAACAATACGGGTTGCATGACAAAACATGTCGTAATACGTAATGACATGTCGTTTTGTGACGTGATTAGACACGACGCTGCACGAAATGTCGTAATGCGTACGACGTAACGCTACGTACTAGGCCACTGATTTATGATGAGTAGAAACGTAAAAAACTGTAATTCTGCGTTCCAGATGGAGATGACAGCTGTGCGTGAAGACCTGGCCGCCCTTCGCCGGGAGGTGTCCGCCCTTCGTGAAGTGGTGGCTGCCCTTCGTGAAGAGATGTCCGCCCTTCGTGGAGTGGTGGCCCCCCTTCGTGAAAAGGTGACCATTCTGAGTGAGGTAGTGGCGAAGGACCATTCGGACACGCAGAAGCTCAAGGGGGAGAACGCCGCACTTCACGATGCGATGGTCCGCCTGGAGCAGGCGGTTATCGAGGAGCGGACCACTCGCCAGACCGTGGTGGAGGATCTGCGGCAGGAGGTCCGCCGGCGAGCGGCGCCATCCGGCCGTCCCCAGGGGTGAGACTGGGAGGCAGCAGGGGTGGCTGTGGGGGCTGAGAGAGTTCGGAGAGCTGTCATGGTGAAAAGTAAACTTTCTTTGTAGAAGGTGTAAGAAATAAAACATCACTAGGTCTTTGAAGGTCGAGTAGCTTGTAATTGTAATTTCCGCCCAATCAAAGAAACATGTCTTGAATTCGTACCATCTGTTAGCCGTTTAGTCTCGATCGTATTGTTCCAGTTTTCGACAGACGTCCTGCAATCTGCATAAAGTTGGCCAGTTTGGGGCATTATATCCGGCACGTATTTACATGTCTTCATCAGCAATCGTGTCACAAAATCTAATCGGACGTATCAAATCGTTCAGATTCGTATGAAATCAACTCTGAACGATTTTATTCAACTGAATAGATGTGGCAACATACTATTGCTGACGACGATATGTAAATGCATATATCGTATCATCAAAGAAGCCAACTAAAGTTGTGAACTTCTTTTGCATTTTGATTTATGTTCCTTTTTTCTTGTCTTTTCAGTAAAATTACAAAAGCGTTTCATGACGTCACGGTACAGACGGAGCCGCAGCCACCGGCAGACAGTGATACCACAGTGCTGAGAGAGGCGCTAAGGACAGTGACGACGTTCGACGCTCCGTCGGCCCTTGGCGAGAATCAGCTGACGGCGCTTCTGCAGAGTCTTCCCCGCTTGGAGGAGCTGACCGTCAGGGTCCCGTCCTTCGGAACGGGGCGGTGGCTGCGGCTGCTGCCGACGTCACTGAGGACGCTATACGTTACCGGTGAGAAGTAGTTGAGGAAACGCGTACTATTACTTCTGAATGGTGGTAGGTACTTACATAGTACATAAAGTAACAGTTTCAGTGATAAACGTTCAGCGGACATATGTGTGCCATGCTACCTACATGCTACACAAACATTAGCCACTGTATTGTACATACCTACTTTATACTCTTGCAAACGAACCTGTATGTACTGAACCTGTATGACCTGTATGTACTGAACTGTATTAATTAACCCTCGCCCGCACATGCCATTTTCCCATCCTAGAACGCACATGGGGGGGGGAGGGGGTTGCCACCCCCCGCGCCATTTCGTTCCTGTTGGAGATAGAGCTTAGCGATAAAGACCAAAAAGATTCTTTGGGAAGAGACGAATCCAATGATACCCAGTTTTACCTTCCCAGGTCAGTCATTGACCTTCCAGGTCAGGTCAAACTAAAAAATGTTGCTGTTTTGGGTCACCGTTGGATATCAAGTGCGCTGCTTATCATATACCGATGACGATGCCGTTTTCTGGTGCCAAGCCAGCTAGAACCTCTTTGTCACACTACCCGACCAGGTTTTTGCTGCTGAGGTCATTTCAGGTCAAGTTAGGTCAAGGTCAATGATATGTGTTTGTATGTCTGTGTGTGTCTGCTTGTATACTGATGTGTGCACCGATTGTTTATGTGTCCATATTACATGAAATCATGATCTGAGAAGCTTTTACCAAAAATGCAGTAAAAAACCTTCAAAAAAAGTTAATTTAGCTTGCCTAAAACGCAATTATCTTAGATGACCTAGGTTGACCTTGACCCTGACCTTGACATCTGTACATCGTCGAACAACATGCTCCATGATAGATGGGAGGTAAGACTGGCATAACAGGTCGAAATCAAGGTGTCAAAAGCTCACAAGGCCCATAGCCAACGCAAGATGTTGAGAATTGGGCATTTGGGTCATGACATGACCTGAAAAACAAGGTCATATCTCCGAAACCAAAAACCGCAGAAACTTTAAATTATCAGTGGACATCAAGAAGGGATAGAGGAGCAGCTATACGAAAAATCAGCCTTCTAGCTCTAAAAATGTTGAGTGCAGAGCAGAAAGACTACCTGGGGGTGGCAACCCCCGCTCCCATGTGCGGGCGAGGACCCGCGCCCTGATGGGGGGGCCATTTTGGCCCCCCTGTGGTTTTTCTTAAATAGCGAAAAAACGGCGGCGCGCAGAACCCGCCAAATTTTGGGTACCTTACTGGGCATCAATTTGACACCTTCACACACAATTTCAAGTCACAGGCCACCTCAGGTCAGGAGTTATTGAGGTCAAACTGAGGTCATGTTCGAGTAAAAATGAGCAAAAAACATGACATCGTGAAACGCTCACCAATTCTACAGTTAACAAGCAATTTTAAAGTTCTTTATGTGGTTGTGTAGAGAAAAGACGGCGCTACAAAACTGCGATCTCCGATTTTCGAAATTTTGGGATTTCGATCCCCAAAAATCAAAAATATTGATTTTTTAGAAAACTAAAAAAAATCCAATTTTTTCGAATTTCGAAAAAAACGGGATATATGTGATAGTCCCTGCACTCTTCGATATACATACCAAATTTTAGATCGATACCTCTTTTTTGTCCAAGTTATAGCGAAAAAAACTTAAAAATTGATGACGTCAAATTTTTTAACTCAATTTTTAGCAATCCTAGACCTGGTAGCGCAAAACGGAGACGACCATTGAACTCCCCGTGACGAGCTGCATCGAATCGATACCCATTTTTTGCAAAAATATCAACTTTGAAATTTGACCTAATTTGACCTGACCTTGACCTGACCTTGACCTGACCTTGACCAAAACGTTACCTAAACTGGCCCTAAAGTCTTTGTGATCCACATAGTCGCATTTGTCATGTAAAATGGACCATAAAACATGTATCACACGACACTTTCATATTGTGACCCGCCAGTCACCTGACCTCTGTGACCTGACCTGGTATCAGTGACCTCAAATAGCAGAATATGTGTTTGAAGAACATTTCCCCATCGATGATTTTCAATGAAATGCATTTTACACGATTTTACAACGCATGTCTTGAAATGCCTGTAAACGGTGAAAATTCGACCTTTGACCTGACCTGAGACGTCATCGGTTTGACCGAGGTCAATGAAATTGGGTCACAAGGTAGTTCCCCGTTGGGGCTAACCAACACCGTTTACCGCTTGTCGCTATGTTGCGTGGTTCTCGAGATCTGAGGGGGGGGGGGCAAAATGCCCCCCCCCATCAGACCGCGTTGCTCGGCAGACCCCATCTGGGCGCGGGTTTTAACTGACGCATGTATAAGCGTAGCGCATGCATTGTGCACAATGTTCAAATACTGTCCAACAGTGCCGATCGACCCTGGCTTTGTCAGTGTCGTCTGTGTCAGGGTTTGACACCACAGTGTCAGCCGCCTCCCAACCCGGCAGCAGCTCCGTCCGACTGCTGTCAGCTGACACAGCTCTGTCCGACAGGGCCGGAGGTGACGAAGCCGAGGTGGCCGGGACAGTACGGGAGTGGTCTGTCGGTATCTCTCCAGGGGGTGGCTGCCGACACCATCAGTCACCTGGCCACGGAGCTGGGGTCACGGATTACCCTACTAGTCACGGATGGTGAGCAGCGGTTGAAGTTACTCATATATGAATGGCTAGGAAGGGATAAACAACAGTAGCTGTTCCGGCGCTCAGCGTTCGCTGGCTGTGACGTCACGGCCACCCGGCGGGCCGCGGCCCGGCTGACCTCCAGTGACCTTGAGACGCGCTGCCGGCCGCGTCAGCTGATTGTCGGCGGTGCGCACTGCGCGGCGACCCCAAACGCTGCCGGACTGGTCAGGTGCAGGTGGCGCTGCCGGGCGCTCCTGAACGGGGCAGGGGGCGACACAGGGACACGAAGAACAGGAAAACTGGCCGGCGGCAACGCTCCTTGCTTGTTATTTTTGCTCTAAGGAACTGCTTTTTTCTAGCAAATGTTCATAAATAACGTAGAGAAGCAGTTTATCCCTGAAAATCTGAAGCCTAAATCAAACCAAGAATAACTGGATACAACACATATTACATGTACTGCAGGAAATGCTGCCTCATCCTAAGGTGGGACGGAAGCCATAAGCCATGGCAAGCTGTAGGATGACAAGTCGTGTGCCGTGTGGTGAATGGTGATGGTCAATGATTTGGGCCTCTATTGGACGTAATATTTACGCTACAAATTTTATAACGATACAAAATTGTTATAATTAGCTACACATAAGTGCTGAACAAAATACTTAAGTGAAAAGGTTTCAAAAACTGTCATATTGATCAATTGACATCATGAAAATATGCCTAGTTCGGAATATAATGCACTAATTAGTGGTGATTTTGTTTTATATGTCAAAGACCCATTATCATTGTATTTGTTGAATATTATGTTACGGAAAGTCGCCGTAACTTATGAAATTCACATCGTTTTGATAAAGTACATACATATTTACTCAGACACGGAATTATCACAGCATTGTAGCCACAAACAGTTTTCACTTTGTGTTTTCTACACCTGTAGGTAAGTGTACAATGTTTGACCTAGACAAATGCCTGACATTGGTTCAATCACCTTTCCAGCACAAGTTACTACTATTCCAAGTCAACTTCGTGGTGCCATCATCAGGGTGGGCCCAAACACTATTATCCTTCCGGCCGGAGTCGGTGACAGCGAGCTGACGGAGCTGCGGAGCTCACGGGAGACTGTGGAGCGGCTGTCAGTCTCCGCCGCCGACCTCCCGCTACTGAGGGAGCAGCTGCCGGAGTGCCTCCAGCGCCTCAATGTCAGAGGTGAGATACCACGGATCATACATGTAATGCCGGTATAATGGACAATGCACATGGATATACAAATGAACAGGGAGACAGACGGCAAATGGACGAACCGTTCGAATTCAGCCAACATCTTACAGCCTTGTTTGTGTTATATGGTATTGTTAGAGTGATGCAATGCATGCATTTGCATATAGTGTGAGCATCAAGTGCATGCATGAAATATTATTGTAGCAATTATGGTAATTTGAAATGGTTTCATTGCAACCACTGCGAACCATATATTTATGTTGTCTACCAATCTGATCCGTTACTATACCATGACTGGCTGCCCAGTGCCTAGGCCAATGTGCCTTGCAAAAATCGTAATACTTATGTTGCTCATATTTGCATATTTACGTATGTATGCTGTTGCTAAAAATATCGTTGTGCAGCCGCTCGGATGTGTTAGTGCTGGCTGTGTCAGTGTCTGACACTCTGGTGTCAGTGGTGCAGCGGGGAGCTGGCGGCAGCTCTGTCCGACTGCAGTCAGCTGACACAGCTCTGTCCGACAGGGCCGGAGTTGACGGAGCCGAGGTGGCCGGAACAGGACGAGGATGATGATCTGTCAGTGTCGCTCCAGGGGGTGGCTGCCGACACCATCAGTCACCTGGCTGACCTGGGACGGACGGTCACACGACTGGAGATATACGGTGAGCAGCGGCAGCACGGACAGGCCGCTGATATACCAGCTCAGCGAATGGCGGACACCGAGTAACGGTTTGCCGTTGTCGAACCTCATGGAGACCTAGCTGTGATACATAGCCAATATGCTTTGCGAAATAATGAAGTCAATTGAGCTGAAAAATGGAGGACTGTTCACTCAGTGACATATTCGTTCAGAGTTAGTTGATCATACTCATAACAATTGTGTTGCACTGTTTAATGAAGTTCAATGCATTTGTTAAGTGAGACTGAAGAGTCATGTCTTAATAGTTAATACACAGGTAAATGCTTATTTGAAATTGTTTAACGGACTTTCACTGGGTAGTGGGTAAAAGTTATTATTGGTCCCGGTACTCCGACTTGTATGGAAAAGTCTTCGATGGGGCACACATAGGTTTAAAACAGACAAAATTTAAACCTATGTGTGCCCCATCGAAGACTTTTCCATACAAGTCGGAGTACCGGGACCAATAATAACTTTTACCCACTACCCAGTGAAAGTCCGTTAAACAATTTCAAATATCAATGCATTTGCTTAACTGATTGCATATATCATATAATAGCACTGTTTTACCATTGTCTACTGTGTCCATAAAACCATGTGAATTATCAGGTGTTTTTTCGTTTTGTCATATATCGACATGTATTACAGCTAACTGATCCTGTCTGTATGTGTGTCTGTGTGTTTTCCAGACTGTCCTGATCACACGGCCGGCAGCCTGGAGCCCCTCACCAGGTGCCGTGGGCTGCAGGACCTATCAGTCACCGCCGCCGACCTCCCGCTACTGAGGGGGCAGCTGCCGGAGGGCCTCAGGTGCCTCAATGTCAGAGGTGAGATACAGCAGATCACACATGTAATGCCGGTACAGGGTGGGGCAGAAAGATTTACCTGTTTGTTTTCAGCCCATAACTCAAAAAGTTTTGGACGGATTTTAGTGAAATTTTGCATGCAGCTTCCCAACTGACTAGTGTATAAGTATTATGATCGTTTTTAATTTCGTCATGGTTGTTGATGAGCTATGGCGGAGATTGCAAAAAGAGCCCAAATTGCGGCGCCGATGCAGGCTGGCCACAGCGTCCGAAGCGTTCCCAAACAGCTCGGTGTTGCCATAAAAACTGCTAACAGAATAATGAAATGCCTTAAAGGGACAGGTACGGTGTCGAGGAGGCCCATCCCAGGCAGAACAAGACATGACCGCGCCAAAGAGCTGGTTGATATCTTGCACAAGATGGTATCTCGAACTCCTTGGCGAAACATGCGCAAACTGGCAAAGGACCTCGATTTTTCGCCTAAAACGATCAGGAGAATCATAAACGACGATTTGGGCCTTGAGTCATACACGATGCAACGTCGACACCTAATTTCGGCGGCATCCAAGGAGAAGCGGCTTCACATGGCCCAAAAGATATTGGAGGAAATCAGAAGCGCCGGTAGCAAGGTCTTCCTCTGATCTGATAAAAAGATTTCCACGTTTGAGCCCCAGATGAGCTCTCAAGGCGTCAGAATCTTGACAGATGGTACATCCAGCATTGATCCTGCTATCCAGACCAGTTTTGGTCGCTACAACCCTGTTGGTGTCATGGTTTGAGCTGCCGTCGCATCCGACGGCTCAAAAGGACCCTTGATCTTCATTGAAGCGGATGTGAAAGTCAGTCTCAGTTCACACGTTTATGTCCATTTGCTGGAGTAACATGCTCTGCCTTGGATCACTCAGTCGTTCCGAGACGGATACGTCGTCGTCCAGGACGTTGCGTCGTCTCAGACGGCCAACTTCACTCAACAGTGGTGCAAGACCCACATGCCTGGATTCTGGGACAAGGACATGTGGCCACCATCAAGTCCAGACCTGAACCCGATGGACTTCACCACCTGGGCCATCCTGGAGAGCGAGATGGGCGCAACACCACACAGCAGCATCGCCGCTCTGAAGCTGGCACTCGAGACGGCATGGTCGAATTTCGACGAGGACACCGTGCGGCGCTCGCGCCTCTCCGCAGGGAGAGGTTTCGGGGCAGGGGTGAAGACCAAAGGTGGCCATATTGGTTCATAGTGCCGTTGCTGAGATGTGTACATGCTACTGAATACGTGTACCAAAAATCATTTGAATATCTTTGTTCTGGACCGAAATATTTTCAAAAATCAAGAGGTAAATCTTTCTGCCCCACCCTGTATATGCAAATGAACAGGGGAGACGGCAAATGGACGAACTGATCAGCCTCAACTAGCAAGTTTCATCGTTAATCGTGTATATTACTCGTCTCGTATTGTGGTGAGAGGGGGAAGGGGTTCAATGGATGCCCTTCGATAGTGTCCATGCTTGAGGCATATGCGTGGAATATTAGTGTAACGTCACGGGGTGATTTAAAAGTTGAGGTACTAGCGATAGTTGCATTGTCACAAGCAGCAAATTTCCGAACAAACGTATTGAGTATTAGTGCGAATTCGGCATCCGGAAAATCAGGGATAATTTTCCGGGATCAACGGGATCATTCGGTGTTTTAGGCTGACACCGTGCACAACGCACATGCCAATGAGTAAAAGAGCCATTACTGAAGCAAAAGCAATATAAAAATATGACTTATTGCATCGATAGTCCTTGCAATACCAAATTATTACCGGTGATCCCGGATAATTATCCCTCATTTTCCGGATGTCGAACGCACGCCTGATCGACAACTGACACTGACTGACTACATAGATAGCTCGCTGACGACGGGTCTGAGCAGACTGACGAGACTGACTGGCCGCGGCCCTGGAGCGGCGGTTATACAGAGTATAGGTGGCGCCACGATCGAAGGCGGCCAGACGGGAATGCAGGCATTGTTACAATTATAGAGCAAGTATTTCAATGGGGAATGATTATTAGATATAGTGCAACCAATGAGAGTAGCATAAGAAGTTTCATAGACTACTGTATTACGCATATACTTTTCGCATATACGTATTATGTTCATATTCACATTCTACATATGACTGCTGCTGCTAAAAAATTGCTGTGCGGCCGCTCGTCTGTTTCAATGCTGACTGTGTCAGTGTCTGACACTCTGGTGTCAGTGTTGCAGCGGGGAGCTGGCGGCAGCTCTGTCCGACTGCAGTCAGCTGACACAGCTCTGTCCGACAGGGCCGGAGGTGACGGAGCCGAGGTGGCCGGAACGGTACTGGGGTGATCTGTCAGTGTCGCTCCAGGGGGTGACTGCCGACACCATCAGTCACCTGGCTGACCTGGGACGGACGGTCACAGTACTGGAGATATACGGTGAGCAGCGGCAGCACGGACAGGCCGCTGATATACGAGCTAAGAGAATGGCGGACACCGAGTAACGGTGTGCCGTTGTCGCACCTCATGCAGACAGGTGTGATACATAGCCAATGTGCTTTGTGAAATAATGAAGCCAACTGAGCTCCGAAATCGAGGAGGACTGTACAATCAGTGACATATTCGATCATAGTCAGTTGAACATACCTACATATTGCGATTGAAATGCAATGTTTGGTGCACTTCAATGCATTGGCTGAACTGATTGCATATCCATAGATAACATGAACATTCATGTTATCATGTTCATTCATTCATGTTATCACATTCATTCATGTTTATATGGCATATCATATAGAACCACTGTTATATCATCGTCTGTGTCCATAAAACCATGCGAATTCATAGCTGTTTCGTTTTTTCCATATATCGACATGTATTGCAGTCCGCTGATCCTGTCTGTATGTGTGTCTGTGTGTTTTCCAGACTGTCCTGATCTCACGGCCGGCAGACTGGAGCCCCTCACCAGGTGCCCTGGGCTGCGGTGGCTCACCCTGTCCGGTGGCGTCCCTAACACCGTGAGCCTGGAGCCCCTCACCAGGTGCCCTAGGCTGTATATTCTCACCCTGTCCGGCGGCGTCCCTGACGCCGTGAGCCTGGAGCCCCTCACCAGGTGCCCTAAGCTGCAATATCTCACCCTGTCCGGCGGCGTCCCTGACACCGTGAGCCTGGAGCCCCTCACCAGGTGCCCTGGGCTGTGGGTTCTCACCCTGTCCGGCGGCGTCCCTGACGCCGTGCTGGACAGTCTCAGCGGCTGCCCCGGGCTGTGGAGACTTACACTGGGGGACCGCCAGCGGCCGGCAGAGACGGCCTTCACAGCAGCAGCGGTCACCAGGTCAGTCAGCAGACACTGGAGAGGGGTATCCTGTCAGACACTGACACACTGACACTGACACACTGACACTGACACACTGACACTGACACACTGACACACTGACATTGACACTGCCACTGACACACCGTCACTGACACACCGTCACTGACACACCGTCACTGACACAGTGACACTGACACGCTGACACTGACACGCTGACACTGACACGCTGACACTGACACGCTGACACTGACACGCTGACACTGACACGCTGACACTGACACAGTGACACAGTGACACAGTGACACAGTGACACACTGACACTGACACACTGACACTGACACTGGCACTGACACACTGACACTGACACACAGACACCGACACATTGACACTGACGCATTGTCACTGACTCCAACACACTGACACTGAAATACTGAAACTGACACTGACTCGTACGTCCGGCCGGCTGGTGCCGCTGTGTTTGTGTGTGACGTCTCTGCTGCTCTGCTCTGTTACAGCCTGGTGAAGTCGTGTCGGAAGCTGGACCGTCTGTACCTTCACTGCACGGCAGACACCACCCGGGCCGTGCTGACCGCCCTGAAGGAGGCGGAACTGGGCCGGCGCAGTGATGGCCGGCCCCGTACCATCCTTCTCCATGTCCCCGGTAGGTGAGAGGGCGCCGCGCGCCGCGCCTCTGATCAGTCAGTCCCTCACAACAGACGCTGCACGGCGCCACCGGCCTCTCAGACACACACACTCGACCACCGCCGCAGGCCACGTCACAGACGGTGACGTGACGCGTCACGGCCACCACGGCCGACGGTGACGTCACGTCAGCCGTCTGTCCTGTGTGTGACGTCACTGTCCGGCGGTGTGTGGACATGGCTGTACCGCTGTCTGTGTGTCTGTCTGTGTGTGAGGTGTCCACCTCAGACGTGTCTCTGCTCTGTCCACAGGGGAGCTGTACCATCAGCTGGAGAGACAGGAAGGCGATGGGGTCAGAGTGTGGCCTTGGAAGGATTGATGCGCTGCACTACCGACCGTGCAGTGATGAGCTGACTGCAGAGAGGCCGAGCCAGTCGGCCGGGGCCGCCAGCTGACTGCTGCCGTGTGTGCTGCACCAGCCGGCACTGAGAGCGGCGCCGGTCAGCCGGCACACGGCCCCCGTGTCCGCTCTAGTGTAGTCATGTAGTTGTAGTAGTTGTAGTGTAGATGTAGTAGTAGCACACGGATGTGATGTAGTGGGTAATTACCGGATGGGTATTGTGGGTAATTGGACGGGAGATGTGATGCAGTGGGTAATTACCGGGCGGGTATTGTGGATAATGGGACAGTGAAAAGTGATGTGCTGGAGAGACTACCGATTGTAGCATTACGCTATTCTGTATGTAGAACACACGTCTCTGACGGTCCGACTCGGTTCACCGCGCCTGGTCCCGGCGGCACGGCCGGCCTCGGTCACGTGACCGTCCCCCGGTGGAGTCGGACGGCTCGGTCACGTGACCGCTCCCCCCGGGTCTGGCTGCACCTCGGCTCGGCGGTGCTGAGCGCCGTGCTGAGCGTGTTGTGACACGTCCCACACGGACAGCTCTACTCGACTACTGGCTAGCTGCCGTCCGAGCTGGCAGTATACACGCGGTGCCAGTTCAGACGGCGGCCGGCCGCGCCGCGCCCGCCCGCTCCGGTCCCGGCCGGCGGCCGTCACCCGGCCCGGGGCGGTGACCATTGGTCAGTCAGCTGACCAATGGTCAGTCAGCTGACTGGTGAGTCAGCTGATTGGTCTGTCAGATTGGCCTGTCAGATGTCTATTAAATACACGAGATTAGACGCTTCAGCTGTACTATCTGTAGGGTAGGGCAATTAGTTACCGGGTGAGCATTGTGGGCAATTGGATGAAGTGATGCGATGTAGTGGGTAATTACCGGTCGGGTGTTGTGGATAATGTAACCCTGGGTATGATATAGCCGGCTATCCAACGGTCGGATATAGTCAGCTGGATGCTACTGAATTGTTTAGAGCTCTCACGGCACCGGTCATAACGAGTGTCCTCGCGTCTGTCCGACTCGGTTCACGGAAGCACGCCGTCACGGCCCGGGTGCGCGCCGCCATGTTTTGTGTCCTCTGCTTCGTACAGGGGGGTAATTGGGCTACCGACCGATTGGGAGTCGGAGTCGGAGTCCGTGTCGATCAAGCTGCCTTGACTCCGACTCCGGAACGGCTTTTTAGATTTTAGTTATCACTTGGCCACGCTACTGATAATCGGCTGCGCTTTGACTAATACATTTTACACACGTCCAGTCTTTGTCCTGGAAAACAGCTACCTTCGGAGCTTACCTCATCATCTCTGCTAATGTCCTGATGACCTGAGTACAGTTTGGCTCCACCAGAGGGGGGGGGGGGGTGTTTCTGCGCCGCTGTGCCGCCGCTGCTGTGACCTGCCGAGCTGCGGTCCCGGCTCCAGAGCACACCGTGGGCCGTCGAGGCCTGGTCCTTCTGTCCCGTGCACATCATCAACAGGTGTCGTATATATCTATAATACGGGCCCAGCGTGAGAGTTCACCGTTAACCGGCGGCCAAAACTGACTGGCTGGATCGCCACTCGCCGTATTTCACCGCCTTCCCCGGTGCCGGGCGGACGATAACCTGTATACGACACACCGTTTTACCCGCCGTCATTTGGGATCAGGTCTGAGAGCCGCCTCTGGTAAATCAGCTGCCGTCTCGAGCCATTTGGCTGGATCTAGGATCCCACCGGATCCAAGATCACGATAACTACGTGGGATCAGACCACACATATACCTTTTCTGAGATTCCTGCACATTGCACATGTGTTTTGGCCACTCTGACTGGTGTCATGTAAGTAGTTCCCTGTTGCAGTTCTGTGTGTGTTGTATGGCCTGCACCCGTCCCCCTCACAACTGCAGTGTTCGGTGCTGGTCAGTGACCCACAGCTGACACCGGGCCTCCCACCGCCGGCGGATGAGCCGGCCGGCCCGTGCCCGGCCCTCCATTCCAGCCGCCACGGCCGGCCAGCGGCACTTGTCCAACACCGGCTGGACACACTACCGACTCGGAGACACACACGGCTCGGGAGACACCCGTGGCGTGTTCTGGGGCCGTACACGGACACTGCAGTGGCCACTGGGCAGAGGTGCGGAACGGACGTACCGCCCGCCCCTCCGACTGGGCAGAGGTGCGGACCGGACGTACCGCCCGCCCCTCCGACTGGGCAGAGGTGCGGACCGGACGTACGTACCGCCCGCCCCTCCGACTGGTCAGAGGTGCGGACCGGACGTACCGCCCGCCCCTCCGACTGGTCAGAGGTGCGGACCGGACGTACCGCCCGCCCCTCCGACTGGGCAGAGGTGCGGACCGGACGTACCGCCCGCCCCTCCGACTGGACAGAGGTGCGGACCGGACGTACCGCCCGCCCCTCCGACTGGACAGAGGTGCGGACCGGACGTACCGCCCGCCCCTCCGACTGGGCAGAGGTGCGGACCGGACGTACGGCCCGCCCCTCCGACTGGGCAGAGGTGCGGACCGGACGTACGGCCCGCCCCTCCGACTGGTCAGAGGTGCGGACCGGCTCGGCCGCCCGGCCCGCCCCTCGGCGCGGCTGCCCGGCTCGCTGCTCGCTGCACGGTCCGGTCGGTCCGAGACTCTGTCGGAGCTCTACTGGTGACCGTCCGGCGCGCCGCCGCAGCCGCCACCGCCGCCGCCGGCCAGGTCACGGCCCAGGTGGGGCGCGGCGGGGCGGTGTGCCACCAGCCGCGTGTCCACGGGCCGCCACTGGGTAGCTGGGGGGGCGGCGCGCCGCGGCACCTCAGCGCCGGCCCCGTGGGTCACTGAGCGGCGCCGACGGCCGCCACAAGAGAGCTGCCGGCTGGCTGTCGGCCGGCGGTAGCAGAGGGCAGCGGGAACAACCGTCGGCCCGCCGGGTCACCGACGGTCCCATCACCCACCGGGGACTCGTGGTGGGAGTCGCCCACCGGTCCCATCACCCACCGGGGACTCGTGGTGGGAGTCGCCCACCGGTCCCATCACCCACCGGGGACTGGTGGTGGGAGTCGCCCACCGGTCCCATCACCCACCGGGGACTGGTGGTGGGAGTCGCCCACCGGTCCCATCACCCACCGGGGACTGGTGGTGGGAGCCGCCCACCGGTCCCATCACCCACCGGGGACTGGTGGTGGGAGTCGCCCACCGGTCCCATCACCCACCGGGGACTCGTGGTAAGAGTCGCCACCGGTCCCATCACCCACCGGGGACTGGTGGTGGGAGTCGCCCACCGGTCCCATCACCCACCGGGGACTGGTGGTGGGAGTCGCCCACCGGTCCCATCACCCACCGGGGACTGGTGGTGGGAGTCGCCCACCGGTCCCATCACCCACCGGGGACTGGTGGTGGGAGTCGCCCACCGGTCCCATCACCCACCGGGGACTGGTGGTGGGAGTCGCCCACCGGTCCCATCACCCACCGGGGACTGGTGGTGGGAGTCGCCCACCGGTCCCATCACCCACCGGGGACTGGTGGTGGGAGTCGCCCACCGGTCCCATCACCCACCGGGGACTGGTGGTGGGAGTCGCCACCGGTCCCATCACCCACCGGGGACTGGTGGTGGGAGTCGCCCACCGGTCCCATCACCCACCGGGGACTGGTGGTGGGAGCCGCCCACCGGTCCCATCACCCACCGGGGACTGGTGGTGGGAGTCGCCCACCGGTCCCATCACCCACCGGGGACTCGTGGTGGGAGTCGCCCACCGGTCCCATCACCCACCGGGGACTGGTGGTGGGAGTCGCCCACCGGTCCCATCACCCACCGGGGACTGGTGGTGGGAGTCGCCCACCGGTCCCATCACCCACCGGGGACTGGTGGTGGGAGTCGCCCACCGGTCCCATCACCCACCGGTCCCATCACCCACCGGGGACTCGTGGTGGGAGTCGCCCACCGGTCCCATCACCCACCGGGGACTCGTGGTGGGAGTCGCCCATCGGCCTCTGAGGGCGGCACCAGTGGGACGGGTGTACTGCGAACTGTTGTCGACGGTCTGGTCCTCTCGCGCGTGAGATACTGTATTTCTGTATATGGCGGTGTACCGCAAAAAACGACTCACGGCTGCTCAGCGTGATCAACTTTGCTACCAGGGTGATCACTGGCCTCAGAAAGTACGATCACGTGTCTCGCGCGCGAGAGGACCTTGGACTGCTCTGTCCTCGACGTATGTACGAGATATCAGCAATGGCTGTGGCCACTACTGTGTTTGTGGAGTGTCGGCGATTGTCAATATGTCAATATGACTGTCTCTGCCGACTGTCCCTATCCCATGAGTGGGACCGGTGGGGCTGTCCCTGCCGACTGTCCCTACCCCAGGAGTGGGACCAGTGGGACTGTCTCTGCCGACTGTCCCTACCCCATGAGTGGGACCAGTGGGACTGTCTCTGCCGACTGTCCCTACCCCAGGAGTGGGACCGGTGGGACTGTCTCTGCCGACTGTCCCCACCCCATGAGTGGGACCGGTGGGACTGTCTCTGCCGACTGTCCCTACCCCATGAGTGGGACCGGTGGGACTGTCCCTGCCGACTGTCCCCACCCCATGAGTGGGACCGGTGGGACTGTCTCTGCCGACTGTCCCTACCCCATGAGTGGGACCGGTGGGACTGTCTCTGCCGACTGTCCCTACCCCAGGAGTGGGACCGGTGGGACTGTCTGCCGACTGTCCCTACCCCATGAGTGGGACCGGTGGGACTGTCTCTGCCGACTGTCCCTACCCCATGAGTGGGACCGGTGGGACTGTCTCTGCCGACTGTCCCCACCCCATTAGTGGGACCGGTGGGACTGTCTCTGCCGACTGTCCCTACCCCATGAGTGGGACCGGTGGGATTGTCTCTGCCGACTGTCCCTACCCCATGAGTGGGACCGGTGGGACTGTCTCTGTCGACTGTCCCTACCCCATGAGTGGGACCGGTGGGATTGTCTCTGTCGACTGTCCCTACCCCCGTGAGTGGGACCGGTGGGACTGTCTCTGCCGACTGTCCCTACCTACCCCATGAGTGGGACCGGTGGGACTGTCTCTGCCGACTGTCCCTACCCTATATGTGAGTGTCCGTTTCTGCGGCGGCCGCTGAGCCCCCAACCCTGCCTTTCTCCTCTTTCCAGTCCGCTGTGCAGGGTCGCTCGAGGTCACGTGGTCAACTGGGTGTCTTCTCCAATGCACCTTGTATTCGTCGATCGACCTTACACACCACCGTGCAGTCACATGGCTACGACCCGACTCCCCTCCGTGCAGTCCGACGCGCCGGCATGGCCCCACAACTGGGACAAACGGCCGCCGGGGACGCTCCTATGTCCGATGTTCGTCTCCGTCCACACCGGAGAGGACAGGGCAGGCGGCGGCCGGCCGACGCTGCCCGCGGCGCCGAGGTGACAGCCTCAGACCTCGCTGCTCCCAGTACGCTACACTGGTCAGGTCGGGCCGGCGGCGGCGTGCCATCGGCCGCCGGCCAGCCGGCCTCCCCGTACTGACCACTCACTCACATACAACACACACACCCCTGTTTATCGAGAAGCATACAAAACATACGCTCTGAACTATGTAATCAGCAGTCACTAACGAATAACGATGGTCTTCCATAACTCAATGGTCTCAAATGTCCCGCCCGCCCCCTGATCATCCACCGGTGCCGTGCCAGTGGTCGGTCGGGGCTCGACCGGTGGTCGGTCGGCAGACAGACCGACCGGTCACCGCCAGGTCACGGCCGGCCCACTGACAAGCACGCCGTGCCGCCGCCGGGGCCGTGGCCGTGCTCCGGCCGTGCCCTGACCGGGCTCACCGGCTCTGACCCACCGGCCTCAGAGATCTGACACCAACTACCGGCTGGACGAGCCGCCGAGCGGCCTGCCCACCGACCGCTCCCGTATGGCAGCGGGCCGCCGCCAGCTGCACCACCCGACACCGACAACAAGCACCGACACACTGTCACAGCACATCTAGCAGCCGGCTTGTCTCGCTGTCAACCACGGGCACTCGCCGGTCCATCAACGCACTCACAAAATCAACTAATCACCCTCGCCTGTCCATCAACGCACTCACAAAATCACCTAATCACCCTCGCCTGTCCATCAACGGCCAACGCACTCACAGAATCATCCGGTCACCTCTCGTCAAATACACACAAAATAATACCGAGCTCACAACCAATCCCGTATGTATCGGAAAATCCCACCACAGCAGTCACCCCCGTTGCCGTCGTGTGGCCTTTCCGTTGCCGTGCGGGACGATTGTCAGCACCC